TTGATGAACATAATTTTCAGACAATTCTTGGATCAGTTCGTCATTATATTCATTGATGATATCCTGGTATATTCAAAAGTAGAGAGGAACACGCTCACCATCTAACTCAGGTTTTGCAGGTTCTCATAGAAAAGAAGTATTATGCAAAGCTGAGTAAGTGTGGGTTATGACTCAGAGCAAGCAGAAGAATTATGCGGATACACAGATGAGGGATTTAGAATTGAGAAAGGTAATCGGGTGTTCTTTAAGGTTACTTCATTTAAAGGAATCAGCAGATTTTACAAGAGGAAAAAACTAAATCCCTAATTTATTGGGCCATTTGAAATCTTAGACAGAATTGACACCGTCACTTACAGACTGACATTGCTTCTAGAATTTTTCAGGGTCCATAATGTATTTTATGTGTCCATGCTACACAAGTACAATCCAGACCCCTCTCACGTCTTGGCCCACGAGCCTCTTTCACTCTAGGAGGATCTGTTCTACGATGAGGTACCGGTCGGTATTGTGGACCAAAAGAGTAGAGTACTTCGCAACTAAAAAATTCCCTTTGCTAAGGTCCTATAATAAAATCACACACAGGGAGAGGCTCCATAATAGCTAGAATCAGACTTCATAGCTCAATATCCTCAACTGTTTGATTGAGTGAGAGAGAGACAAATTTGAGAGATCAAATTTCTTTTTAAGGGGAGGATAATTGTAATACTCTTAATTAATTTTAATATATTTAAAATTAATGTATAAATATAATTTTTAAATTTTTATTTAATGTAAAAATAAAGAAAAATAGGTAGATGATGAAATTGAAAATAATTTTAGAAAAAATGGGTGAAAATTTAGATTTTGATGGTATTTTTGAAAGAAAAATCAGAAATTGGAGATCAAAATGCAATTTAAGAAAAATGTGTCACGTAGGATGCCCAGTCAACAACTCGACGAACCAAAGCGCATCGCGTGGCAAGACACACTGGTGTGGTGCCACGTGGAAGGCCACCCTAACAATCCGCGTGACCGTGATCAAACGATCCGGATTTGTTCCTGCGCGTGTGGATGGTCCGAATCTGTTTCCCCTTTAAACATGATCGTACGGTCCAGATCAAATCGTAATTAACAGTCCAAATTCACTTCCAATTTAAATGCGATCAGACAGTCCATATCAAATCGTTATGAATTGTCTAGAT